ACCTTTGGTATGCCTCTTCAGGAACTGGCAGTCTTTAGCTTTAGTCCATATTGTCTATGATCCACTATTAGTCAATCAAATTATAAAATATAAAATCTCCAAAAGCCCAAAGCAAAGAGGGAGAGACCAAACTCAGCAAGTGTCACAAAGATAATGTCATCAATTCCATTATCTTTGAATTTCTTTTATTTGTGTCCTTATCAACCTTTTCTGCCAGATCTGAATTTTCTGACCACATTCTTTCTTCTTCATATCGTGCAGCAACAAACCATATTTCAATTCAGTAAATTGCAAATCAAGTCCCACTGTTATTTTCTGCTTTTTCTTGTTATCCTACATTTCATTCAAAACCATTGTTAATCCATCAAATTTTTCATTTAGAAAGAAAACCTGTAAAATAGAAAACATTTCTTCCCAGAAAGTTTTAGTTGCTTTGTAGACATTTTGAAAAACACAGAGTTCCTTTCAAAGGCGAGAGAAATCATAACAAAACATCCATAGAGAGAAATTAAGATAATTTTTTTCCCAAGGTAAAAAATAACCAAAATAATTTTCCTATTTTTCTTTCCTTTTTAAAAAAATAAAAAGCTGGTAAGAATAAAATCCTTTTAATATAATCCAATGTAAGTATAAGTCCAGCTCAGTGACTTTTATTATTGGAGAGTGAATTCTCACCAGCTTCCATACAGCAAATGAAAGTAATTAAATGTTTTGTTTTGTAATTCAATGACAAACAAGGGAAAAAGTTGTAAAGATCCAGCAAGGGTTGTAAGATAGGTCAGCAGTCAACTAGTCCAAAATTACTCAACCTTTCTGGCTTTGCAGACCATCAGGGGCAAAGGTGGGGCGGGGGGGGGGGGGTGAAGAGAGGAAATGGTTCTGCACAAGCAGCTGGCAACGTGTGCAGCTCTATTTGTGCAAGGGACATGCACTGCTGTTCATGTAAATGGAGCATGTGTGCACACACTTGACCATTGCTTGCGCAAGTGGAGATGTGCACATGTGGCCCAGTTGCAAATAGCTCACAGCCCAGTACTGAGTGTATCCTAGGGGGTTGGGGATCCCTGAACTAATCTATTAAAATGTGTAGATCAAAAAATAAAGGATTTTTAAAAGTGCAATTAAAACCAAGACATGGTTTTTAAAAAACAGAACAGCTGAATAGTAAAAATGGTAAAAGACTTGACCTTCTGATCGTTCCTTACTGAGAATTGCAATCTTCAAGATCTGTCTCCTTTGAAGATGCACAATTGTCCAAAAGTTTTCTTGTATCCTTCCTTCTTTTTCCCATTTGATTCGAGGAAGCATAGTTGATAAATAGCCAGCTTTGGTGGCAAACTCAGCATGTCTTCAGTGGGAGACAGAAAAATTGCCCACTGCATGACATCTTGGGGAAAAACAGTAATTACCTCTTAGTCTTACTTCAGATGATTGTCAATTTTTCCTATTTAATAATTTCACTCTTTTTTCATCAGGCTGTACAAGGGACTGGGCTAGCATTCATAGTATATTCTGAAGCAATTAAAAATATGGAGTTCTCACAATTGTATTCAGTGCTGTATTTTGTCATGTTGCTGTTGCTGGGAATAGGGAGCATGCTGGGAAACACTGCAGCCATTCTTACTCCTCTGACTGACATCGAATTCCTCTCTTCTCACGTACCCAGGGAGATTATCTCAGGTAAATTTGATAGCTACAATATTGAATAATTTCAATGCCTGGCAAGACTAGCAATACAATTAGAAGATAATATTGCGGAAGATGTCATGATATGCATGTAATTGCAAGAAGGTAGTCCTTCAGTTACGACAGTTCATTTAGCGATGGTTGTTATGACACAACCCCCCCCAAAAAAATACTTACAACAGTCCCGACATTATGAATGTTGCAGTACCATAGCAATTGTTCACCCTTATGACCCACTGCAACATTCCCCCTGCCTATTCTCCCTCCCCAACAGGGATGTAACAGGCACTAGCCCTCCTATGCTAGCCCTCTGGCTTGTCCACATCCCAATCGCTCATTTACCTTTCAAAGATCCTGAGTTCCAGAACAGGATGACCGCTCCTTCTTTCTACTCAAGCAAACTGTCTCCTCTCCAACCTCTCAGCTGTAGTGTATGCGTAGCAGCGTAGTTTCTTTGCCTGCTCCCGGCACTCCAAAAGTAGAGTGGCGAGAGCAGAGGCAGAGCATGAGGGGTGTGCCTGCTCAGCTTGTCTGCCTGCACAGGATACCCAATCTATTTTTGAAGTGCTGCACAGCCTTAGTGAGCTGGGAGTGCTAAGTCCTCTATCCCTTTGCAAAAGCTTTTGTTATAGAGGACAGAAGCCTTTGGGGGTGTAAGGTTGTACTCCTTCAGGCCTCTGTTCTCCATGCTGAAAATTGCAAAGGGACCGAAGATGTCCAGCAGTGCGAGATCACTCTCCCAAAGCCTTCTGTCCTTTTGCAAAAGCTTTCAGTGTGGAGAACAGATGCCTTTGTGTGGGGGGAGGGGGGGGTTGAATCGCATTCCTTCAGACTTACTAAGGTTACCTTGTGCTCCAAAAGCAGAGCGGGTGTCCCAGGCAGGCAGCCTCAGTTAATCAGTCAAGCAGGGCGCATTTGTCCCCATAGGCCCAGTGCCTGTGGTGACCCAGGGGCAGGATAGGAGGGGAAAACATGAGATATCTCAGTAGGTAGGGGGAAGCCTTGGGTAGTCAAAAGCACTACCCCCCCCATCTCCCTCCCTTCCCAGATACCTCATGTGCTTTTAACCTGCACATTCAATTAGCAAATGCATTGGCTAAAGCAGGGAGGGATCACATTCATTTAACATGATCCAATTAATGAATTCTTGGGTTACAAATGTAATTGGCAGATTCTATTACATTCCTAACTCGAGGATTATCTGTATAGCTCTGATCATAACCATGCATACTTATTATGGTTATAAGTGAATGCCAACTGTGATTCCTCTTCTAATCAGCTCAATATCCATGACTACAAATGTGAACATCCTTATTTCTAGAAAGGAGCCAATTTGGCATAGTGGATGCACGTTCACATTTTCGGCAAACCGGTTGTTAAAGTATGCACAGCCCACCTCTGCATCAGCAGTTAAGTTGAAAAAAACTACAGTATATCTTATCCGATTTGAAATTAAAGCAAATGACCCTTATTTCCAGCAGGACTACATATTTAGTAAAAAGAATATAAAATTTGTTCTGATCCAAGCTTTTTTTAACATTGAGGTTGAAAGCATTTTTTTCTTTTATAGGTAGCGTGTGCATTATCAGCTGTGTCATTGGCCTAATATTTACTACAAGGGCTGGTAGCTATTGGTTTAATATCTTCAATGATTATGCTGCTACTCTGTCCTTGCTGCTTATTGTACTGGTGGAAACTATTGCTGTTTGTTACATATATGGGCTAAAAAGGTAAGAAGTCAATCATGATGCTTCTTTCTTATCATTATCAAAATGTCATTGCCTAATTTATTCTGCATTTATATACCAATTTCTTCCAAGATGTCAAGAGCTTTTTAAAGCATTATAAGATAGCAATCTAACTTTATACTTTATAGCAGCTGCTTTTTAATTGGAATGATAGATGCCAACACAGTGCTTATTTGTTTCAATAGATTTAGTAAAGACCTTTGCGTGATGATTGGACATGAGCCAAGTTGGTATTGGAAAGTTTTATGGGCTTTTATCAGTCCAATATTAATCATAAGCCTATTTGTGTTTTACATCACGGACTACATCAGGACAGGGATATCCCAGTATCAAGCCTGGGATGCAACAGAGGTATTTTACTGAATTTATTTTTTCTGTTGGCAGTTAAATTTAGCGGTTGAGGGAAATAGGCAGTTTTCCAATATCATAGAATGCAATTTTCAATTTTGCAGGTCAATATAGAAAAAAATTATATTGGCCTGGAGTTCCAGGAATTGCAATCTAATAAAATGGACCTAAGTTGGAAAAATGGTAAAAAAAACTCTGCCTCTTGAATCTGAAATGATTCTAGTGTACTAACATCTATATAATTACCGTTACTGAAATTCGAAGCTTGAAAAAAATGAAAAGAATGCAAATTGAAAAAATGTGATATAAGTATTTTATCATGAACCCCAAGATTAAAACAGCAACATATATTTCCTTGGTATTAGTGTAGGCTGTTTCACACTTCTGTTATCTCTTGTAGGGACAGTTGGTTGCAAAAGATTATCCAAGAGGTGGCCTAGCAGTTATTGGTCTCCTTGTGGCAACAACATCATCATGCATACCATTAGGAGCATTAGTAACTTTTATAAAGCTCAGAAATCGCCAGTAATTGGACTTTAGCAACTGATGCAGCTTTCACATTCCAGCTTGAAGATTATACCAGTTATAGGTCCAGCAAGCAGCAAAGCAAATCCTGGGTAACCAAACATTCCTCCAAAATAAGTCTCTTATCCATTCTCCAAATTAAAAAAAAAATGGCTTTGCAGAAGAAGATAACTGGAGATTGATTTTGACAGATAAAGACAAGATTATACTTGAAAATATTGGTTCTGTGCAACTTTGCAAAGGAAATCTTGCATAGGTGAATATGAACTCTGGTTGTAAAACATCCAAGAAGTCAAGTGGTACAAAATCTGCAATGTGTGCAACTGATTTTTCTATAGTTTGATTATGCAACTCATTTTTATAGTTATTTCTAAGTTACCTTTATGAGCAAAGCATTGTCAGATTCTTTACACCCTACCATATCTGTAGCCATCTAATGAATGTCCATAATTCCCAAAAGAAAAACAATGGGCAACAGGGCTGGGAAATTTTAAGTAAGGACTACATTGGAATTATGAACTAAGAAACTAAAGACTAAAGATTTTAGTTGCATACTGAATGTGGTATTGTGTTTATTTTCTGTGAAATATTTTTATCAAATCACAAAAATGTAAGTCAAAAAATTATATGAGGAAAATTGTAAGTTTTGTTTTATTTGCCTGTTTAAGTTTTTATTGTTTTTAAGACAAAGGGACTACAGTCAAATGTTTTTGTTTCCCTATGCCACTCTTCAAAGTAATTTCAAAATACGATTATCCTTGCTTACAAATTATCTTGTTCAGAAACCATTTGAAATTACAATGGTGCTGGAAGAAAACTTTACAAGCAATGCCAAAATTTAGTTTCCACAGCATTCTCTCAGACACAAGTGCCATTAGTCCACAGATTGTACTGTACATGACCTGTTAATTTTTCTCTCCCCCTCACCCTGGCACTTTGTAGAGTGGAGAGATTGGAAAGGGATTACAAGAGTAAGTAAGCTCACAATACATATTAAAAGCAATGTTTTGTCAATGCTGTAGCTAAGAATGTCTAATGCAAATCTGGTGCATTTCCCAGTGTGCTTGATTACTCTCTTGTAAGCCCTTTCTTTCCAACAAATGTAAATACAAATGTAAATTCTCTTTTTGCTAATTATCCCAGTGTCATGGTGAGAATTTCAAAGGGTAGGAGTGAGAAAAAGAAAAGCATCTTAGAGACTTCTTAATAACAGAACTGCTGGTCCCAAATGTGGCTGCTAAATGAGGACTGTTTAATTTTCTCCCATAAACTGAAATATTCACAAATGCTTCAGGTTTCAGCAGATGACATAAGATAGACTGCAAATTTCACAATTCTGGAATTCAGAATTAAACTTTTTTATTTAAATTTTGGCTGTCAAAGTTAAAGATAATACAAGTGTAATCAGGGGTTTCATGTAATATATGAATGTAGAATCTGAATTTAAGTGACACATTTTCCACATTTGTTTATTAAAACTGACATAAAACAAAACCTGTAAAAAATACCGGTTGTTTGGGGCTTTTTTTAATAACAGATATAAAGAAGTTATCGTCTTGGACCCCCTCTTCCTCTTCCACGTCCTCTTCCTCGTCCTCGTCCTCTTCCACGTCCTCTACCTGCAACTGAACATAATACAACCTTATTTTGTAAAGGCAATCATACCATAGTACTTTTTACTGTATAACATTTTTATTTTGTATATATTTTAAATTTTTAAACTTATTCCAAGTAATTCAAAAGTGGAAAAAAAAAATCACTATTGGTTACAAAAGAAAAAAGAAAAGCTATTCTCTTTTCTTACAATGATCTTATCAAGCACTTATTTATCTCTGCTTCCAAATACTGAAAATGGGTATAGTTTTGAAATATAAACTTCTAAGAAATAATGCTCTAAAATATGTAACTTGACAGTGTTATTCTAAAAATATGGGTTCCAATCTTCCAATTTTGCACTAATTCTTTGAGTTTTTTATGCTGTCTGGTGTCAGCTTTGATAAGTGTCCAGCCACCATGTTTTCTGACAGCCTGGTTTCCTTTTACCACTAACTCTCCCATAATTGTTTTCTCCAGTGAATTTCCCTGCATGACATGGCCAAAGTAAGGCAGATGTAGTTTCGTGATTTTGTCTTTTAGTGACATGTTTGGTATTATGTGCCTCAGTAATTGCTGTTAATCCCTGCTTTTCCAAGGAAAATTAACTGTTTAAGTAACTTAAGAATTATGTATTTGCTATTTAAGAATTATTTAAGCAATTGATATTGCTCCGTTAGTTACAAGACAAGGGCTAGAGAATTTAAGATTGGAAAAACTTTTTTGAAACAAGATAGCATGAGATTCCTTTATTAAAAAAATAGCTTTACATATCTAGTCCGATACCAAACAATCTATACTTGTTTTATAGAATCAAAGCTGCTTTGAAGGGGTGTGATGATGAAAGCAGATATTATTATTTACATGATTATGCAAAAATTATAACAGCAAATGAGCAAGATATCCTCCAACTTTTATGTTTGAAGTTATACAAATCAATGTGAAATACCCTTTTCATTTTTAAACTTATTTTAAAGCCACTACAAGTAAGAATTAAAGCTGCAATTTAGGCATCATCATAGATGTTAAATTAAAATGTTCTTAAATGAAGCAGATATTTACCCTAAAGTCTGAAATCAAGAACTAACCTGCCTCCCTTTTTTTGGATTTGACTTTTGGTTCAACATCCACCAGCAAAGTATCAAGAGGCAAACTGTCTGGCAGAATAAAATATCTGATATTATTGCCTCGAATGCTCAATGTCTCCAACTGGACAGGTTCTCTGTTCTTCAAAGTCATCTTTACAGCTTTAAGATGGGTATTCATACTGACATCCACTCCTGAAAAAATAAAGCATAGAACATTTCCTAATCTTATGGAAGGTTATATTATTCCAAAATTGCCTACCTATGGCCATACAACTACCATAAATTACCTATTGTAAGATAAGGGAGAATGCTATATATTTGATCACTATAGTGAGCTGGAAAATCATGATCATAAAGCAAATTTATTTTTTAAAAAACCTGCATTTTCTTAGAATCTTTTGTTTGCACAGCTTGAAAAATAGTATGTTTTATTTTTTAATATTTTCACTCATATTTCCTACATTTAGAAATTTTTTCCTCCATACATTACTCATGTACTTCACCTATTCTCCAGTCATTCAAAACATTTTCCCCTATCACAACATTGCTCTAACTCAGGTGCGTCAAATTGGATTTCTTCGAGGGCTGGATCAGCATTGTAGTTCTCTTCTGTGGGCTGGCAGCGGCGGGATGGATGCCTCCTACAGCACCCTGCCAGCCAAAATGGGCCACATGGCCTGTTTTGGGCCAGCAGAGTGCTGCAGGAGGCCATAGAGGGTGAAAATGAGGTGTGCCCCCCCCCACATGACCCGTTTTAGCTGCCAGAGGCACCGCGCACCAGTCTCTTGATATTTCTAGGCTGGCCCCACAGGCCGGATTTAAGCACCCTGCATGTCGGATTCAGTCCGCGCGCCTTGAGTTTGACATTCCTGCTCTAACTAGAACTATGTTCTCTAATATAACAAATATGCCAACTGGCCACACTTCTTCCCTTAGCAAATTATCAGGTTTTTTGTTCTACCTGATATCCTACAATTAAACAAAGAAGCTTTAAAAAAGAAAAACCGATATGCTACAACAGGGGTCCCCAACCGCAGTCCACTACTAGGCCTTGAACCATTCGGAGCCACACTGTGGAAGTGGCGAGCGAACACGCACGAGTAGCAGGTGAGCACATGGACTTCATTTGCACAAATACAGGCGTAAATGCCTGGCGCTCACATGGAACCTTCTTCCCCTCCTGCCAGACTGCAAAGCCAGAAAGACTGGGGAACTGTGTTACAAGCCAAACTTTATTTTCAAGAATTATTGACCAGAAATGGTCAACATAACGTCTTCAAAATAAATGTTTGCTAGATACAACCAGATCTTTTACTTGGATATTTGTCTAATTGTCCAGACAAAGGTAAGCAGGGATAAAGGAGTATCCAATGAAAGAATTTACTAGAGGGAATATTCATTACAACCCCAAACATTTTGTTCAGTGGAAATTCCCCAGCAGTTTGCAAAAGTGCCACACCATATTCTTAAGATACCAAATGTGTTCAGTAGTTTAAGAAAGGTGAGGGCTCCTAGCTGGAATATCACACACGTATTAAAGTATAAATGACAATTTCTTCCTTATTTTGATAATGAAAAATATTTAACACATAATATATGGAGGGCAATGCTGGAAATAATAGCTGGAAATATTGGTAGTTTTAGAAGTTATGGAAAAATCCATACAGTGACCTTGGGTAAGCGGATTTTTCAGGTTAATCCAGGAATGCAATTCTAATGCAAGATATTTCCCAGTGTGGATAGATATTGCTGTAGTTCTCTTTCAAAGCATAAATATACCTACATCAATAAAATGAAAGCCACATGCATACATTCCTAATTTAAGTGGAAAGATACCCGTGAATTCTGCTAAATATTCAGAATTTTATTTAGTTACAAATCTTTTTGATAATTTCTTCATCCAGAATCGCATACCTGTAATGGTTCCATGTACCTGAGTCCCATTTTTCAGTTCAATGGTGACAGTTTCATGACTAAGTTTCATAAGAAATCTGCATAATTGGAACAAACATGTTACCTTATATGTAAATGAATTTCTTTAGATAATGAGAAAATGAGAAAAAAAGCCAAAATTCATGCAAAAAGCAAATGTCTCCACAATGCAAATATCAACAACCATTTGACATTCAAGACATTCTATTGGCTGATGAATGTTATTAAGCAAAGGCAGATAATTATCTCTAGTAACAGTTGGGAACCTTCTATAGTCCAAGTAAAGCCAAGTCAGAAAGATGAGGAATCATATACAAGAAACCCTGATTTAGGCTCTTGAAGATATAACACTAAAGCCTGTATAAATACTACTTTAATCTGCGACTAACTAAAGTCTGCTTCAGATCAACTCTTGATGGTTTTATTATGTTATTATTAAATCAATTTATATAGTTGCCCATCTCACAAACCAATGACCCTGGGCAGAAAACAATAGAATTAAAACAGTTAATAGATTAAAAAGTATAACAATAAAATTAAACCAATTAAAGAAAGGGATGTTAAAAACAGTGGCTCTTCCTGTAGGGTCCCCAAGCCAGTTGGCATAACCAGGTTTTGAGCGACTTCTTCAAAGCTCAATAGTGACCAAGACAACCTCACCAGAGGGGAGAGATTTCAGTGTGAACACAATAGCAGAAAAATTATGTCACCTAGGATCTATCAAGTTCCCTAGGTAAGAAACCATAATGTGCCCTCTCTGCTAGATCTGATAAGATGGGAAGATGAAATGGAAAAGCAGTCCCTCAAATAACTTGGTCTCAATCCACCTTTCAAGACTTGTAAAATCTAAGCTTGATACTTTTCTAGACAAATAACTAGAACTAAAATTGTTTTCCACTTGTTTAATATTTTTTTCATTTTTTTCCAAAATAATTTGAAATTAACAAATTAGGCCAAATGTTCTTTTTATCATTGCAATTTTTATTTAAAACAATTTAAATGTTTCCATCTAAGGAAATCAGGTAGTCTATTTTCAAGTCTGCTAATAAGTATCTTTACATTTCATGTTTATTACTTTTTTGTTAAATTCTGAAGTACCAAATATTTTTTTCCTCTTAAGATCATCTGCATATGATCTTAATTTTATTTTTTTGGTTTGCTAGTTTGATTGCTGAAATTTTATTTTGTTATAGTTTCTCAACCAATGAATCTAATGTCAGTAGAAATAAGGAAGGAGAGGGACAGCTTTGTCTTCTTTTCTTCAATTTTGTGATAAATAAATATGTTTTAGCTGAATAGCAAAATACTTATTCTATTGTGGAATCCTTAGTGTTCTCTAAGCTTGTTGGTTTTCTTGCAGATGTTTCATTAAGCAACTAGGCAATATCACCAGTGCTATCTTTTCTATTCAATGTTTTCTTGCAGACTTAGTCCATGATTCATAAATGCTTAATACGTATATCAGAATAAAACCTGCATGATAAAAACATGTTTTAAACTCCTCAGATTTGTATGGACAAACTTCTGTGTGCCTGCAAAAATGTCTCCCTTCTAAGATTGCTTGAAGGCATTAAAACAGGCTTTGGAAAAGGTCCAGTTATATTTACAGGGCAGTATTTTAGACTTTCTCTAATATAACAGCCTGGTGATTTGGCCATTTCAAATTATAATACTCATGTCTGCTAGGTACATCTTAAATTACTTGCTGGATTGTCTAATTAGGTACCTAATGGGCATTTATGATACAGCCTCTATATACATAATTTGTTTATAATCTGTTCTAACATCGATTGTGCTTGCCCAATAGTATTAATAGGTGCAGTCTTACAATTACCAGACTGAGCCTTAGCATATGGTGGTATACACAAATGAGCAGATAATCACTCACATGAATAAGGTTGTCTAAAATCAGACCTGTAAAATATTGCTATTTGAGCAACTATAGCTTTTCCCTTATTTTAACCCACGTTAGGATTTCGCTGTCTACTCTGTACTAGAAATAGCTTCGCGGCCCTTAGTGAATGGCCACCTACTGAAGCAAATTGCTAGCTCTGAAGTCATTTAAGTGTAATACTGATTCTCCATTTCAAAATTGTCCCGGAAAAATTGTCTTCAGCGCGTCGGAAGGAACGCAAGTCTAGGGAGGGGAGAGAGAAAGGGAGGCGGCCATGAAAAGAAGCCAGGGCCTCCTGGCCCAACGTGTTTCTAAACTGTTCCCGCCTTTCCCGAAGAGCTGATACTTACCGCACGAGTTTCATGGCGGAAAGGCAATAGGCGCAATTCGAAGCTGCTAAACTAGATACAGAGGACTCCCCGAGGTTGAGAAGCCAAAAGGAATGATAAAAAAAATTGAGCTAGACCGCTTCCGTTACTCGTGAACAGAAGATACTGGCGCGCTTCTGACCAAGTGCTGAATGAATGGCCGGAAGCACCGCCTCTCCGTTTTCTCTTCCGGAAATCAGGATTTAATTAGAGGGCTGTTTTAAAAGAAGCTCCTCCTCTGCATGATAATCAGAGTTCAAATTTCAGGTTCATTGCTTGAATGCAATAATGAAGGGAACCCTTGTGGAGAAAATAAGCGGGGCAGAGCTGTCAGTCTAGACTAGAGCATAGGAAAGGAAAAAAAAACCCAACACAGTAGAATTCATCTCTGCATGGCTCTTTAATGGGCGCCTTTTGTAATCCCAAATTTCCTGTGGTCATTTAGGGGTGGGTTCGATAAAGACTTCTCTAATGGATGGAGAAACAGAAACCTATCCCAGACAACTAAGTTACAAATCCCTGAGACCTCCAATTTGATGTAAGAGGTGGTAAGCGTTCTATTTTAGCAGCAACTCAAGATCATAAAATTCTCTAGCCCTGTGTTCGGTATTTAAAATTATTTCCGGATGAATGAAAACTGTTTTCTCTTCCCAATATGTTCAGGCTTAGAAATAGGGAAGGGAAATCACTGATTCTAGACTTGCACTAAATTTTTGTTTACTAAAAAATGAAATTTCATAAAGACCCGTAGGGCTTAAAATTATGTGTTCAGATTTTAAGATTTTATGTGTTCAGGATTTAAGAATAAAAATAACATTTAAAATTATTTTGTATGATTGTTTTTTCCATGTAAATCACAGCTGCACAATGGCATAGTTTAAATACCTAATAAAATCTAACATTGTAAGACTGATCAACATTCAATATATTTCCATTTTGTACAAGTACACATGCAAAATAGTAATTAAGCAGCAATACTAGTTCCTGTAATTCTGCCATCTTTCCAGCTTTAATACAGAGTTATTTAAAGGTTCTTTTCACATTTGCATTGTTTCCAAAAGCATTAAAGCAATCCTTTAAAAATGTTGCGCCCAACTGTAATTTTAAATGAGACAAAGTAAAATTATTAAATACATGGGAAATAATATCTATAACTTATGTTGTCTCATTGTGGCTGTGAGAGTGAAGTGTGTTTTTGGGAGGAATAAGCAAAGAATGTTGGGAGTGGGTGTCAAAAATGTTTTCCCCAGTGATCAGCCATATTCAAAAGCTATCTCAGCTAAGGCAAATGTCTGGCAAATGTGAACTACTCTTTTTACAAAAAAACCCTCCACATGGATGGAAAATATAAAATGATTACAATGAGAAAATGTATGTAGTCATTAAGTGTCAATACTGACTTGATGCAAATAATCACAAATATTAACTTAAAAATCTCTAAGTAAATTGAATTCCATTTTAAATAAAACTAAACATTTAGTTTTTCTTGTGGCCTTGAGTACATTGTGGAACATGGCTTCTGTCATATTCTTCTTTGAGGAATAAATGCAACAAATGCATATTTGATATTTGCTGCTCACATGTCTCCCATTTCATAAGAAACTTAGCAGCAGAACTAATGAGGGGAAATTGCAATCCAAGAAAGCTTACATTGTATACCTTAATACATTTGCACATTGTCAACTCTAAACACACATCAGACAGAAAATGTGTTATTATTAAACTGATGGTCTTACCTAGTTGGGTAATGAAATGTCTGCAAGAAACCACCAAGCCCAAAGAGCACCAAGGACCCCACTATTCAACCCTGAGCTACAATATTGTCTTATATTGGTATTAAACCAAACTGGATGTTTCAATAAATGCTTTTGAGCCATGAAGAGGAAAAATGCTATTACAAATTGTGGCATCATCAAACTGGATATATATTGTGAATGATGAAGCTGCCATAATATCTAAAGAGATTGTACACTTAATAGAAGAGATATGGAATATACCTGCTCTGTGGGCAGAAACTGTAGGTGGCTCCTCAGGTATCCAGGTTCTATGCCATATATGGCTTTATAGGTAATGACCAGCATCTTGAATTGTACTTACAACCCAAGTGGTAATCATTACACCAGTGGTGATAACGTAAGCATATTGGGAGGCACCCATTATTGCTTGTGTTGTTACATTTTGTACCAGTTGGACTTGGATGGTCTTCCCCCTGCTCTTTTCTGCCTGCTCTTGGGCACACGACAGCTGTGAAACGTCTGAGCCTCCACAATATGTACAGCATAATTTTTAGTACTAAAGCCATGCTAAATACTTATATCCCTGCCAGGCATGGTTTACAAACAATATTGGAGTAAAATAAATAGCTGTTGCCATTAGTCTAGGAATTATAAGATGCATTACTTAAGAATATATGAAACATCATATACAATGAATTAAAGATTTTAAGAAAAATTTAGCATCGAGCCAGCCAGGAGTCGAACCTAGAATCTTCTGATCCGTAGTCAGACGCGTTATCCATTGCGCCACTAGCCCGCGCTAAGGAAAAACTGAAAACTTTTTTGTCTGTATTTTAAATTCCGGCGCATTGTAAATTCCATCCAACAGATTTCTTGAAGGTGGTACCATAGGGAATTCTTGGTAGATTAAACCAATCAAACCAATCGATAGTCTTTCATTTTTGACCAGTATTTTTCAACCCTGGCAGTTTGAAGATGTATAAACTTAAACTTACATAATTATCCAGCCAACATGTTATTGGGGAATTCTGGTAGTTGATGTCCGAACATCTTCAAGCTGGAAAGGTTGAAAAACATTGTTTTAGATTTTAATTAGGAGCAGCTGTACTTCTATAAATCTAAATTACAATGGATGATGGTCAATACCAGGTCGCTTTCTATTCGGCGTTGCCTAGAGCCGGAGCTAGCGTCACAATTGTGGTTCCCGCCCAACTCATCTAGTATAGGTTGGCGTGATTAGAACGACAGATTCCACCAATCCCAGCTTCCCGAGTCATTGAATCGCTCTTTGGGAAGCCGTAGAATGCTTTCTCATTAAGTTTGTCCTAAGTGGTGTACCGTCTTGAAGGCCTAGGTGCGGCTGCCAAGTGACCGGGAAGTAAGGAAGGAATTCTAAGTAGAAAGCAGATATAGAGCCCGAACGGAACTGCGCGGCGGACGAAGGAGCAAATGGGAACTAAGGTGGTAGCCGCCGCGGCAGCCGCCGCCTACGAGGAGCTGAAGCTGTGAGTGAGCGGCCAATGGTCGGCGGAAAATACTTCTAATTTCGTGCCCCTCTAGGGGGTGAAACAAGCCTTAGTATGAAGGTGTCTCTGGCGCCCCCTCTCTTTCTCTTCCCATTAACAAGATGTTTTTTCCGGCTATGTCCTGGGTCGAGCCTCCCCCAGCTTAGGGACTCTGAGTCTGCGAAACGACTAGCCCCGTTGTAATAAGCGCTTGCCGTGGGAATTGTCGTTCAACGCATATGTCGTGCACCAGTTTGGGAAAAGGCTATCCCGGACCATGTTTGGCCTCTCTAGCTTTCCTCGTCCCCCAAAATCCTTCTCTTTTCGATTCCCCTTTTTTCATGTATTATGGCCGGTAAACCCCCGACGCTTACTGCGCCCCGGTTTTTGCTTCTTTCCTGGCCAAGTTGAGGTCACGTAATGGTCAAATCATTTCCAGCGCAACCAACTCGCTTACAGGGTCTTTGAAAATATTTTTTTGTGGAGTTGACTCTTGATTTCCACTGAAGTCTCCCTTTCCTTGCTAAAATCATCTTTGTTTTCTTTCATTGCTTTGTTCTTGGTAAAAAAATAAGAGCCTGTCTCTCCTTCCCCAGCCTGAATAACAATTTTCTGTTACTGACCCTATCACAAACCATTCAGGTGATCTAACCTACGAACATTTTTGCAACATGGATTTATTTAACTGGATAAGATGAAATTTATAGTCCAACAGATATGAAGATCATGAGGTTTACCAACAATGAAGTGAAGTCTTCCTTTGTGCAATGAGCTGTTGTAGGTGTAAAAGCTTGTGTTATTAGAAGATCCTTGCAAATAATTATCTAGACAGAGAACTTGCATTAAGAGAGCACAATAAATCTATGATTTTATTTGATCTGAATACATTTTTATCTTTACATAACTGCTGCAATAATCTGCCTAATACTAAGTTCTTTGGAAAGCCCAGGACACTGTCCCTTCACTTTTTTGGTCTTTGAAACATAGAAACCTGGGCCAGCCTCTTCCAAATGCATACATTATGGAATTATGGAGTTACAGTGCTTGCATAGTAGTTATGGTAGGGAGTGAGGCAGTATTTTGCATTCTACGCAATGCTGTAGTCTCCAGAAACAATTTATCTAGATGGTGAAAGTTAGCTCAGTAAAAAGATTAAAATCATATTGTATATGTATCAGTACTAACTTTTGGCAACTGCTTGGACAAATCCCTGCAATTTCCTTGGCAAGGTTTTTCAGAAGTGGTTTGTCATTGCCTATTTCCTCCATGGCTGAGAGAAAATAACTGGCCCAAGGTATCACTTAGCTAGTTTCATGCTTAGGGTGGGATTAGAACTCCCTGTCTCCCAGTTTCCACCTGGTGTCTTAATCACTACAGCAAACTGGCTGTCTAATAGAATATACATACAATTCTGAGATAGATGTGAATTTTTCTTCTATAATTGTCCATCTATTGTTGTTTAAAAGGTTACTTTATTTTACTGATCTTAAGCATATTTATATGGTAATGCTGCTTAGGGATTCAGTGGGTAAGCTTCCAAAAATATCACAAAGAAATGTAGAATTAGTATTTTAAAGACCATTGCTTTTATTTATATATTCGTTTATTGATAACAAGTGATCTAATACAGTTGTTGATCCGTCTAAATGTATCTTGACTTATTAATCCTTACTTTGTATTATGATGCAGTTAAAGGAACACATTTTATATGGGTTGTTCTTTCTGAAGTGTACAATTAAATTCTTAATATTTTGATGCAGTTTACTGCTTGATACATATATTCCAGTAATCTTATCAAATGGAAAAATATGCAAGTTATTTTTAGGCTAATTCAATTACTTAATGATTATTATTCTTTTCCTCTTTGATAAAACTGAAATCTGGACAAACTGGTTACACTGTTTCGACATAACAC